TCAATGTAAACAATTAGCTTACCAACTATTGATATTGTAAATCTACTAATTATATTAGATAACTAAACAAATTGTACAAAATGATAGAATAACGTTTAATTGTTGAACAGAAATTTCATCACCATAAAGATAAATTTAGTAAACGATAATTTTTGGATAATCAAGTTGCTCATTCGCCACAATTTAAGATTAACTGATTACTTTTCTTTGAGTAATTTGATTCTGTCTAATTGAGTAACATCAGAAATCACGAATTTTGAAAACAATCGCAATTAAAAACGACCAAGAAAATAAAGTTTCCATGATAATCCAACCAGAGAGCGTCACCAACACAGCTTGTTTATCTTTGTCTCTTTTTATCATTCTAATTAGTGATGATTATTGGATTTTCCAATGATCGATTGTGACAGTGATTGTGATCGAACCTGCAGTTGTGAAACCCTTTGTTCGACCATGTAAAAAGGCTTTAGGATCAAATTCTTCAAAGATTATCAGCTCTCAAAAGTCAACTAACGCATGTGTTGATGAAGGTGAAGGTAAAGAGTCCAATGAGGTAATAGAGATATTACAACATCAGAAGGCGAAAAATTTGGATGCCAAGATTGTCGACAGAATTTTGAATGAAATTATTGAGAAAACCGATGGACAAGGTGTTGATTGGAAAGATATTGCTGGACTTAAAACGGCCAAGGAGAGTATCCGAGAGATTGTAATTTTACCATTGTTAAAACCTCAACTTTTCGTTGGACTTAGAGATCCTTCAAAAGGTATTTTATTAAAGATTTGCTGCTTATGTCAAGAAGCGGCTTATGGTCCAACCCTTACCACTGACCATTAGACGCATGATGCCTGATGATGCATGATGAAATCTTTTTCATCTAATGTATGTTTTTCCGAAGATATTAATCGTTTGATTAGATCTCTACGAGCTTGTTTATTGGGAAGGGGAATGTAAAGTCTACTGTTGAATCGCCGCCTTGCAGCTTCATCTAATTCATGAGGTCGATTAGTGGCACCGACAACAAGTAGACTTTCCTCATGGTCAGTGGTAAGGCCATCAAATTGAACAAGAAACTCGGTTTTCAATCTACGAGAAGATTCATGTTCAGAGTCATTTCGCTGAGTTAAAAGTGAATCTATTTCAAAAAGAAAAGTTTTTCTTTTTTTTCTTTAATAAACATTTTCAATCAAAAAATATATTGATTTTAACGCAACAGAAAAGCTTAGATATTTGATTGTGGTAATAAATTGCAATCAGTTGATGAAATATATTGTTTTTTTTTTCTTCAGCGGTGGAAATGATTAATTGCAACAAAGGGAAATAATTATTTTGGAAGAAAACAAAAGATTAACAAAAAGGGATTAACTGTTGGCTTAAAAAACACAAGCTACTGTATAGCGTTTCCAGTCGTATATGCATATATGAGATTGGTGATGGCTCTTTGGGGTTGAGTGATTAGAAAAAAGTAGATTTGATTTCTCTAGAATAGAGGATAATCTAGAAAAAAGAATAGATTTGTGTTGATAATATTTGATGAGAGAGAAAGAGAGAAATAGGTGAGTTATATAGGAAATTATTCCGACTTTTGTATGATGATGACGATGGTGAGATATGATTATAATAAAAAATATATTCGATGATAAAAGAGATAAATTTTGTGTGTGATAATTGTCACCAGTTAATTTTCATTTGATGATGATAAATGATAGTTATCATTAAGTCTGATTGCCTGTTGAAGTTCAGCCATTTTATGTTGATTCAAAGCCAAAAGTCCAATGTTAATCAGGTAATCACAAACATTTATAAGATAGAAAAGTTAATACAAAAAGAAAAATAATTTAATTTATTTATACAAACAAATGAATAAAGAAATTGTTTGTTTGTTTGATATTTAAATGGGAGAAGATTATTTGATTAGGTTAAATTGGTTTAAAGAATTAAACTATTATCATGCTTACAGAGTCCTGAGAGTCGATAATGAAGTTTGGTTATATCGGTGATACATTGTTTCTTTATCTCATATTTCAAGCAATTCATCCGATTCGCGGTAACGGTGTATTTGTAACCTTTCTTGGCGGTTCTCGGATGATCAGATTTTTCGAACCAATCACAAGTAGCTAAACTGTGTCTCAATGAGTTTTTCCAATGTTGACCAGCATCTTGAAAATATGGAAAACATTCCCTGTGAATTAGAAGGAAGAGAGAAAAAAAGAAAAGAAAATAGAATGAAATAGAAAAAGATTAGCTTGTGTTTCTAAGAAAAAGGTTTTCATTTTTTGCTCTTTTTGCTTGGAAAATGCAGGTAAAAATTAGATTGGTACTTACATGAGGAACTTGTAGACACCGGAAACTTCTTGTTGTCGGGTGGGCTCACTGTAAATCGCTAAGGCACATATGTGAGACATATTATGTGAGAACGGAGGCTTCAGGTAACCATTATGAGTTGATGTGTATAAAGAATCAACATCAAGAGCGAAATCAGGGTCAATCCGTTTCTCTGGTTTATTGGCCAATTTTTCAAAATACTTTTTATGTTTTCGGCAACAATTACCTTCTTGACTTTGTTGGGAAAGTTGTGAATCCGATTGTGTCAAATTAGATGTATAATTTGATGATGAATTGTAAAATGAAGATGGCCCATGATAGGAACTTTGAGAAGCGATGACCAAAGGCTGTGAATAGTTTTCATAGCTACTGGATAGAATTGAATTGTCCAAAGATTTTACCTGAAGAACATTTGAATTTTCTTGAGATTTTTGCAGTGAATTTTGAGATCTCTGGGATTGAGATAAAGATTGTGAACGAATCAAGGAATCACCTCCATCCTTTGACAATTGAGAACAGGTTAAACCATTTAGAAGTAAACTTTCAACGGATATATTTTCTTTGACATTTTCGTTGATTTCATTCTCATCACCACCATCGACAATAAACTCTGATTCAAGAGTAAAATCATTAAACAAGCCACAATTTTCAAAATAATGGTCATCAAGTTGGTCAAAATTATCAACCTTCACAGGTAAGACTTGATCCATTGGTGAGGGAGATGAAGCTTGAGATATTAATAATAAAGTTGATGAACTAAGTTGAAACATAAACGGTGAATCAGGAACACGATCAGATGAATTGATGAACTTATCGTAACCTTTGTCCATTGAACAACTATCACAGTAACAATTATAATACCTATTAACCGGTAAATAGAAAGGTCTAAATGGTTCGTTGTCAGCTGACGCTAAAATGTCAGAAAGCGATCGCTGGGACGCATGGAACATATTCCGACTTTTAACTCATTTTCGTAAAGCGAGTTTTTTCTGCTTTTCAGCTCCAGCGTCCATTCTTTTGACCACATATGGATCAAGTTCACCTTTTTCTGTTTTCTTTTTCTTTATCATGGCCGGTGCATCGTTACTTCAAGTCTGTTCAGAATCAAGACTTTACTTTAATCGATGATTATATTGATGGACTCAGAGCTTGTCTCTACATAAAAGCTCATCCAGAACTTTACCATGATTGGAATTTTCAATCACCACCAACACCTAAGCATCAGAAAGGTAAACCAGTTGGAACCATTGGTCAAGGATTACCGAATTTCGGTGAATTTGCTGAGAAGAAAAAAAATATGATCGGAGATTCGAGACGAAAATCTTTCAATCAACAACAAATCGAAACAAACATGAATCAAAGTGATCTAAATTCGACTAAAAGTGAACAACAAATCAAATCAATTCCAAGAATAAAGGTAATCCTATTTCTTTTTTTTCTTCAATTTTTAATTTTTGTATCTCTTTTGGAATAGGAAATCGTTGCTGAAGCTGTACCAAGAATCGGAGCCTTTGGTGAACTGGACACTAAACAACAAGTAGTTGCTTTAATTGATGAGGTAAATGTATCAACTCTCATTTTTATCCTTTATCGTTGTTAATTTTCTTAATTGTTTCCTTAAAATAGGATATGTGCATCAACTGTGGTAAATGTTACATGACTTGTAACGACTCTGGTTATCAAGCGATAAGTTTTGACCCGATAACCCACATACCCAAAGTAACAGATGATTGTACTGGTTGTACTTTATGCTATTCGGTTTGTCCAATTATCGATTGTATTTCAATGGTTCCATCGAACAAACCAAATAAACCCAAAAGAGGTATCGAACCAGAATATGAACCATCGATCGCACCTAAAAGTCCGCTTCCAATTCAATGAAACTAAACTGAGATAATATGTATTTCGAACATGAAAAAATACTTTGTAACTCAATCAATGAAATAGAGAAAACGAATAAATAATTAAGACAAAATGATCAATTTATTGGCTTTTCATTTAAATTGCTCATGAAATTCGGCCACATCCTTGAGTCGCTGTTCTTGAGCTCGAGTTATATTCTTATTTTTCTTCTCTATTTTTTCAAAATAAGAATTGTAAGCGATGAAAAAATTTTCTACAGTCCATTTATCAAAATAGTCCGGCCTCGTTTCAACCCACGAACAAAATTGAGCGAAAGCATCCCAAGGGAGAGAACGGCCATTTTTTCGGTTATAAAGACCTCTCATTATGTTTAATTGTACTTTAATGAAGGTATACTCATTCTCCATTGGTTCTTGTTTAGCACGATCATTAAGGTCAATCTGTTGAATTCCAGTTGTAACTTTTTCAACGGCGTTTCTTGGGTTTGGATAACCTGAACCACTCGCGATTGAATCTGGATCACTTTTGATAATTGAATGATCCATTTTCTGAAATTAAGCATGAAAACACAACAATTAGAATTTCATTCAATACTATTGATCCTAAACTTACAATTCAGTTGATAAGAATCAAATTTTGAGAGAAATAAACAAGTAATTAAAGGTAAACTAAAAGGTGAGAAAGAAAGTGTGTAGACCAGCTGATTTTGTCGATAGTCGATTAATCAAAAGTCCAATAGATTGTCTTAGATTTTTGTAAACTAGTTAAAGGAAAAGTCGAAAAAATTTTCGAGAATCGCGAAACAGTCTAATTTATTAACGAGTATATTAAATTGTCTTTTATTGCAAATTTAATTTCATTTTAAATTAGAGCATTTTCAAAAAAGAAACTTTTCATTTTTTCTACTTTCGATTTTAACCAACAACCAATTGTCGAATTTCCCCCCACAAATGACAAATATCGTCTTTCGGGTCCGAATAAATGTTTTTTGTATCCATTGTTTTCGTTAATCTCCATTTAAGAGGTAGAACAGATTTCGACGAATCAGTTAACATCGGAGGCCAATTTAATCTTTGACCATAAGCAAAACTCTTTATAAATTTGATCATTTGTCTTGTTACTCGTCGATCGCGATCACTGAAAGTATCGTACTCATGATAAGCTTTTCCTAGAATTTGATAAGCGGCGTCACCATGTTTGGTACCGAAAAGCCTTTCGCTCTTATTGAAACCATCCATTACATAAGCATCTAAGTAACCATGAGTTATTTGTCCGTTCTTAGTCCAAGATTCGGTGTAAAGTAACAATGGACAATGGTGAAGATAATCGCCCGCAGCTAATGAAAGTGCTCCTTTAATCTCCATGACGTTATAATCTTCAACTTTATCGAAATAATATTTGAAAACTGTTTCTACTTGTTCCTCTGTTGTATTAGGATAAGTTCTCATGATCATGTAATTTAGCATTTTTTTAGCTTCTTCTATTGACGCAGGCCAAAGTTTTGTGAAAATTTCGTCTTCGTTTTGTTCGTTACCAAAGAGAATTGGAACTCGACGTCGAGGGTATTTTTCAAGAACCAACTGATCGGGGGGAATCGGAAGAAGTGTAGTATTATAAATCATTACGAAAGGCGGTGTTTCTTTGTACGACAATTGATTCATAACTGGGTCGCTAAACGAAGCATTCATTAGAACCTGAGCATCGATGCCTCTCATACAGTCAACCTGTTGATCGGTAAGTTTAGTGGCCTCTGGATCATCAGCGTTACCGCAACCGACAATTTCCGCCACTGTTCGAGTCAAGTTAAAAGTTTCCTCTTGTGTTCTGATCGCCGAATGAGGACTAATCACTGATGAAGCTAAATAAACTTTATCGATTAACTTTGCATCCACGATTGGTGATAAAATGAATGCCGATGCAGCCATAGCACCAGAACAAGCGCCAAAAATAGTAACTGCTTTAGGATTCCCACCAAAATGTTCAATATTTTGATTAACCCATTCAAGGGATTGTATTAAATCATAGATTCCTATGTTACCAGGAATTGATTCAGTTCCACTATAACCAAATCCAAAAATACTGAGCCGATGATTAACCGTTACAACAACGGTGTCACTTAAAGAGGACAATATGTCACCTTGATGTCGCTTTTCATGAACTGAACCTTTATTAAAACCACCTCCATAGATGTATATTATGACTGGTTTAAGAGATGAACTTTCAATATGGTTCGAGGCTAAAGATGAGCTAATGACCGGTGTCCAGACATTCAGATACAAACAATTTTCACTTGTTTCGGGATAGTTCGTGTTCACATTTGGGGGCTGGGGACAAGGCGGTCGGAAGAATGTGGCATTATATTCACCATCATGAGGATCCAGAGGAACTGGTTTGATGAATCTAAGTTGACCCACCGGTGGTTTAGCGTAAGGAATACCAAGAAAAACACCAATCGGTCTACCAAGAATCCGCTCTTGTTTACCAATGACAGTTGACCAGGGGATAGTAACGGTCAGTTTACCTTCATGTGTTTTATTGTAATACCGATGCGGATGGTGATACCCACTGACATTGATTGGTAATAAGCTGAAAACACAAAAAACTAAAAGAAAAATTAACATGATCGTAATGAAATTGTACTTAATTAAGTAGTAGGAAAAAATAAATTCAACTGATGAAGTTAATTATTGTTGATTTTTGTTTCTCTCTCACTCTGTGTCTCTCTCCCAAAGAGTAATAGTTATTACTCTTTGCTCTCTCCCTCAGGTCTTTCGAGACAAGATAACCTTGATTCTCAACCAGATCTATGGACAAGTTTCCGTTTCTATGTGAACAAGATGGAAGATGAGAAAAATATTTATGTGATTACTGGAAATTTTGTTGATTATTACGAAATTCAATTAATTAATCTGCATTTTGATTACCTTGAGAAACTAATCTCTTCAATCTTATCTCAGTGTTTTTCCCTTTTTCATTTTTGCAAACGAATGGTAATCAATTAATTTACTTGAATTTATCTCTTAAATTATTGAGAACAAGTTCTTAACAAGTATATTAATCGATACAACTCGAAATGAAACTTTTCCTCGTTTACTAAAGTTCTAATATCATATCATGATATTCAGTAGTTGATCTTCCCAGTGTTGAGCAATTTAGATTTTTATCTAATCCAATTTAAACCTTTATCTCTTCATTTAAACGGCAGAAAAGTAATCACATTGATTAATTGTTTAAATTGGAATCTTATTGACTAAAGACTCTTTCTAAAGTTCACTATTTAGAAACAAGGGAGAGAGAGAGAGAGTTGAATTTAATTTAAATTACGATTAATTAAGTAGCGCGAATCAAAACAATTAGCTACATGAGGAAGTCGTTTGTTGTCATATATTTTTACGTCTTTTTAATGGATTGTTAATGGAAATTTTAATTGACGAAAGCTGAATTAGAGGTTCAACAATCCAGAGGCGATTTCGTGAAGGTCAAACATTTCAATTAATCGTGACAATTTGTCGTTGCCCAATCAAAATGTTTATTCTGGTAAAAAACTGATCTTCTGTTGAATTAGTCAACTTGCTGTGAGAATAGACTTTGTTGTGTTTACAATCATCTTGTCATATGTTTTTAAAGAAAACAATTGCATTTAGATTGACATTTAAACGATGGAGTTTAATTGTGTTAATATTTTAATTGATGACAACTTGTTGATTAATTTAGAACGTGAAACCTCATCATTTATCTTATTTGGTTTGAAAGAGATTAACCAGAAAATACTTAATGTGAACATATTGGCTGTTAGGAGATTCAATCCAAATTGTGATCAGTTGATTATTAAGAGATTAATTAAGAGAAGAAATTTACCCAAATTATTAGGATTCTTGGATAAATCAACATCATCTTCAGAGTTATCAGAACGATCTACAATTAAAATGAAGCTGGAAAAACGTTCTTTGTTCATCTTTTAGCCAACACCAATGTTACCATCAAGGAATTACTGATAAATGGGAAATGTAATCAAACTATTCCGGTTAATTTGATTATCTACAATTCACATCATTTGATAACATCTCATTCCAAATTTGATGGACCAGCCAAATTAAATCAATTGGAAGAACCAATTTGTAAATTCTGTATTCAGACTATTGAGAAATTTTTGATTCTCAAGAAAACCAGTGATCAATTGGAAATTCAATCCTTTATCCCCTGCAATCAAGTGTCAAAAGTGACTACCAATCCACCAACAATTAAAAGGTCCAACTCATCATGGGTTGATTATCTTCTTGATTATACTACCACCGGTAGATTAATTTACCACCGTTTCGAGGAGAGTTTATTTTGTTGGAATAACTTCAACAACAATCTTTTGACTGTGAAGATCTTCAACATTATAAGTCTAATCATCGTTGATTTGATTCTAAGTTTCTTATTTTTTCTAATCATTTCACAAGTAACCTCTCCATCTAACCTGTTGGAATCTTTTCTCACAATAATGGAATCAATTGTATCAAAAGTGGAACAATTGATTTACAATCTAATCGGAATGCCCGCTGGTCTTAAACTAAATCGTCCATTGAACACTGCCCTTGGAAACTTTTTCCTCTATCATATTCACATTTGGAAAGCTTATATTACTCTAATCCGTCCATTCTTATCCCTGGTTCTTGATCTTCTTGGATTAATCAGTTTCTTTGGAATCACATTTGTATTGAGCTTTTTTTCCGATCTCATCTCATTGGCATCAATTCACATTTACTGTTTCTACGGATATGCTGCTAGACTTTATTGTTTCCAATTGTCGGGCTTAATTTCCCTGTGGCGACTTTTTCGAGGTAAAAAGTGGAACAATTTAAAACACCGAGTCGATTCTTATTCCTATGGACATGATCAGCTATTCATTGGAACAGTTTGTTTCACCATATTAATCTTCCTTCTTCCAACGATATTACTTTATTATATTGTTTTCCTATTTCTCCGTTTGATCAGCATCATAAGTCAATTTTTCATCAAACTAGTAATCGGGATAATCCTGTTAATCCCTTTCTATGGTTTATTTTTATGGATCTGTGGATCGGCTCAGATAAAGACAAATCTCTTCTTCCAAATTGTTGAAATTACCAAAGAAAGACAATTAACTGTTAATATGATTTTTAAATCAATGACTTTAGGTCAAATCTTTAATTCTCATACATGTAATTCTGGTAATCCTTTTAATTACCATAAATTGTTACCAGATAATTTTTTCCTTTCAATTTTGACTGGATCATTAATCTAAACAATCAATGTAAACAATTAACTTACCAACTATTGATATTGTTAGTCTACAAAGAATATTAGAAAATTAATTTAATTCTGTCTAATTGAGTAATCAGAAATCACGAATTTTGAAAACAATCGCAATTAAAAACGACCAAGAAAATAAAGTTTCCCTGATAATCCAACCAGAGAGCGTCACCAACACAACTTGTTTATCTTTGTCTCTTTTTATGATTCTAATCATTTGTTTATCTCAATTAGTTAATTAATTTCTCTTGGTGCAAATTGAGTGTCTCTTTTATTGTTAACCTTTTGTGTAGACTGATTGTTAATATAAATAAATTGAATTAGAACTACTTGTTATTCTTATAACTTTCACTCTATCAAGATGAACCTCCTATCCAAAGTTGGGTGAGTATCCATTTTGTTTACTTTTTGTGTTGATGATTTGCTAATTGATTCTGGTCAATTTAATTTGGATTATCATCAATCACCATGAATCAAACTGTTAAAACTACAATTTTAATTATTTGGTGAGAGACTATAATCATAATGACATTGATTTAATTACTAGTTAATGGGTGAAAATTAGTTGATTCATTTTCTTTCTTTCCTTTGGTTTATCTTGTTTACTTTTTCTTTGTTTGGTTTCACTTCATTTATGTTAATCTAATTGTTTCTTTGTTCATTTCAGTGCCGTCGCTTTGCCCAATTTGATTGGATGGGCTGGATCCAATTTCACTCGGGCAGCGATTCCGACCTGGTATGAGGTAATTACAACTTTCCAATCATTTTCTCAATCATCATTGTCATAATATAAATTTAGTTTTCCACTCACCGATACTTCAATCAGCTGATTGTTTCAGGTTGTTTGCTATTATTTTCTGCTTTTGATTGTGATTTTTGTTTTTCCATTCCAGAAACTGAAGAGACCTTCATGGCGACCACCTAATATCGCTTTCCCAATCGTTTGGACTGCTCTTTACACCACCATGGGTGCAGCCTCATACCTCATCTATCGCGATGGTGGTGGATTCAATGGACCAGCGAGATTACCGTTGACAGTTTATGGTGTTAATCTAATTCTTAATGGTCTTTGGACTCCTCTCTTTTTCGGTGCTAAACGAATCGACCTCGCTCTGGCCGATATCTTAGCTCTAATTGGAGTTATTGGTGGTTGTGTTGCGACCTTTTATCCCGTCAATAAAACCGCTGCTTACATGATGATTCCATACCTTTTATGGACCAGTTTTGCTTCTTTACTTAATTTCAAAATTTGGCTTGATAATCCAAGTGGTGGAGTAAATTCAACTGACAATTCAACCGCCGATAAAGCAAATTAATTCAATTTAATGTTGGAACAAGAAAAACGAAAATTTCAAACATTTTCCTAAATGTATTTTCTTTAAGGAAGAAAAAAAAAGAATATTATTGAAGAGATTTTATCTTCATTTTAATTATAACTTTCTACATTTATTTATGTGTATTTATATCATCTGACTGATTAGCAATCAGTAATTAATTTCATCACTAATTAGTCCACAACAATTTAAAATAGAATTCATTTCAAGCGCCATCTGGTGGTTCTATTTGTTGATCTAAAGAAGGAAAAAAAATTTTTTCAATTAACACGTGAAATCTTGTTAATCATTTATCGTTAATTGTGATTGATTTTATCATAGATTTTTACTAATTATGCCACCAGTAAAGTGTATTGTGTCGAACATTGCTTGGACCGTTGGTCGAGGTTAGTATATTGAACAGAGTTTCCATTTCTTTTCGTTTTCAATTCAAGAATAAAATTAAATTGGATTTGTGATAATCTCTTTTGTTTGTTTACAGTTCAGCTTCGTGAATATTTTTCCCGATTTGGTTCATTGGCTGAAGTTTCAGTTAAATTTGTAAGTGTTTTAAACTAAAATATTGATCGTAACATCCATATTGTCATTAGAATCTTAAATTCTAAATTCTAATATCTTAATAATTTATACAGAACAGAGAAACAGGATTATCTGAGAAATTTGGTTTCATCACTTTCATCGATAAACAATCGTTTCTTTCTGCCGTAAATCAATCAAATGAACATTTTCTTGAAGGATCAATGGTTAGTCTTACTCATTGAATTGTAATTGTCTATGTAATTAACCAACTTATATTTTTTTCATAATTTTCTTGCCACAGATGAGACTAAAACCAATGCGAGAATCATCATGAAATGTGAAAACCCACCAAAGAAACAAATTAAATGAAATCATGTAGAAGATTGAAATCATTGTACATTTTAATGTCAACTTTTTTTTCATTAGAAATTGATAATAAAAAGCTAATTTAAATGTAAAAAGTGTCTAAAAATTACATCAAGATGAATTAGTCATTGTTTTGAATGAAAAATCACCTTGAATGAAAACAGAGTAACAGAATTGATCAGCTGATTGAACTTTTTTACCTTAACATGTGAGTGAAATTGTTTACATTTACTGATTCATTTGAGAGAATTAATTATTGTGTGTGTTGATTTCACAATTAGAATCATGTTTAGAAAGTATATCAACACGGGAAT